CACGAGTGTAGGGGAAAGTGTGTCCGCTTGCGCATAGCCCCCGCTACGCAAGTAAGGCTATCATATTACGGAGGGCGCCAGGTATCCGTAAGCTCCGTTTGAGACTGGGCTATTTAAGGGCCCCCTTTATAGTACTTACTTTTTCGTTATTTCTCTATGAGAGTAACTGTCAATTTTCTTCTTCCTGATAGCTAGCAGCTACTAGCAGTTAAGATAGAAAGCTCTTATATGTATAATTGAATCATGGTTTCTAGTAACAGAAATACAGTGTGCGACAAAACTAAAGCACGGAACGTTGTTGCGGCAAAAAAATTTTCCTCTAGTAACTTCGAGGAATGGTGCTGGGCCTTTGGAAATATATGTGATAGACTAGAGGGCACAATAGACCCTAGGTCGCGGTGCAAATCTCATACAATTTCTATTATTATTCTATTCTATATATGAATCTGTCTATTATACCATTGATATCTTGAATTTGGCCTACTTATTGACCTGAAAAACCACCCCACATAAGTACGTTGTCTCCACCGTGTTCACCGTGCCGTGGATTGAGGCGTTGCTTACCAGCTTCAACCCTTCTGAATCTTTCATATTGAAGGAGCACGGAGAATAGTAAAGGGTTATTTTTTATTGCCAGAATGACTGCTTTACCCTCTCGTTCGGTTGTTTCCGCCGCCTTTCCATCTTTAACTAAAGAGCCTGGTGTGCGAAATCGGTTTAATATTCGGGAAATAATAGTATGATTTATTCCAAACTTTTTTGCAATAGTCATAACCGCTTCTCCGTTCTTTAAATCATTAAGGATTTTTAAAATGAACAGAATACTTATTTCGAGGCATTGAAATTGTTTTCACTTTAGTATATAACCAACCTCATTGAATAGCGAATTGCAACTCAATATGCATGCAGTGTAGAATTAGAAATCACAGTCATGTGCTTTAGTTTTGTCGCACCAGAATGGAGTTTTTTATAAATGAATTTTTATCATTTTATTAATAAGTAATTTGTTTAAGTTTTACTAACTTAAAATGAACACTAAATGTCCTAATTATAAAAATAAAAAATGTTATTTTAATGCCTACTTTATGATTTTATTCATTCAAATACCGGTAAGGTACATTCCGTGCTTTAGTTTTGCCGCACACTGTATTTACATATTTTCAGTTATCGTTTTTAATAATACTATAGGTGCATTGATTTTAAATTTATTTTAAGGCAAATAATTTTTATAAGTCAAAACATAACATAACATAAAAACAAACAAAATTTATGTATGTACATTAATGTGTTGTCTATAAATTGATGCAAAATGCTAAAACAAGTTGAAGAGAGACAACCTAACGGAACTTTTGTCGGCGACATTTTTCTTATGAATGGACAAATTGTGTTTTTTTGTGCGTGTACGTTATCAATAAACTATTTCGGATAACTAATATCTGAAATGTTTTCAGCACACTGAAATGTAAAAGTATTAAAGCATTCAGGAAGAAGGCTTTTTACTTTCGTAAAATCGATTTTTTCCCTCTTATCTTATTGTTTAACATTTCAAGAATAAGTCCTTAAAATTGTAGGTCGATAGAAGCAATATTCTTAAAGTTATTGTCTTATTAATCTCCCAGCCTTAAACGCTCCAACTAATAGTTCATAAACTTTAGTCCGTGTTCACTGTCATTTCAAAACTACTTGACCGATTCATTTCAAACTTTATACACATTTTTTATACAAAATTTATCAGAGAACGTTAGGAGGGAAGATTTGTTCCTAATTTAACTAATTTTTCTTGGTTTTTTTTGGATAATTTCCAGCCGAGTTTTGGTTAACACTGCAAATTGTTTTTTTCTCAAGACGTTCTGGGGGAAGCCCTGTTACCGGCTTATGCTTCAATATTCCTGCATGAAAAAATTACCTTATATTGTCGAAAGTATGCTCAATAATGTACAAAAGGTCCGAATAAAATTAATCAATCCATATTTAAGAAAAAAAAGTATTTGTTTTTTACCTTGAAACCCTACCCCCCCTTAAGAAGATATGTACATTCACCTATAGTGTTATCACAAAAGAAAACTTAAGTTAATATTTCTGTTAATTAAAACTAAGCCTAAAACTGAATTTTCATGGTGTTTTAATTTTGGAGGGAAGTAATTGAGAAACAGTGTCAGTATACATATCTATATATCGTCATATGAAATGAAAAATTTACAAAAAATTCAAAATCGACTTTTTAATTGATTATCATGTATTCTACAAGGTGCGTTCCAAAGTAAACAGGACTTTAAAAAAAAAGACAGAACAAATAGTTTTATCGGCAAAATCAATTAATTTTATTTAAAATCCTCTTCTGCTTTAATACAGCTTTTTGCACGGTCCAAAAGCATGTCGAACGAGTGTTTTAGCTCGTTGACCGGTATGGCCGCCAGTATGCCGGTGGAAGCCTTTTGAATGGCCTCCACGTCTGCATAAAGCTTTCCTTTCATCGGCAAACGCATTTTTCCGAAAAGGTAGCCATATCAGGTGAATACGGGGAGTGGTTGATTGTTAAAATGTCATTTTTGGTCAAATAATCGGCCACAAGCGTCGATCGATGAGACGACGCATTATCGTGCAACAAACGCCAACTTCAATCTTTGCGATATTCGGGCCGAACACGTCGAATACGGCGCACCAAACGCTTCAAAACTCCAAGGTAGAATACCGCATTAACGTTTTGACCGGATGGAACAAATTCTTTGTGGACAATACCCTTGGAATCATAAAAACAAATCAGCATTGTCTTCACTTTTGACTTCTCCAGGCGCGATTTTTTGGGTTTCATTTATCTCCTCACGACCACTTTGAAAACGTTGAAACCACTCGTGCACTCTGCTACGGGATAGGCAATCATCGCCATAAACTTGTTTCATCAATTGAAACGTTTCGGTAAAAGTTTTACCAATTTTAAAAGAAAATTTAATGTTGGCTCTTTGTTCGAAGCTCATTTTCGCATCAATGACAAAAGCATCCTGACACTTAAAATGCAATAACTTTACTTCCAATAGATGAAATGTCATGTAATTTTTACTGGAAGTCGATAAAGGATAGGAGATTCTAACGCACTAGTCGACATATAGATGGCTCCACTAGAGTTTACTTTGTTACTTTTGTACTGTTTACTTTGGAACGCACCTTGTATCATAATCCAACCAATAATAACGTGGCTATAAGAAATTCAAAAAGTGCAAGCGTAACAAATTTGCCAACCAAGATAGTAACGTACTATTTTAGAGAAAAAATAAACCACATGACATGCCATGACATTGTTTGTTATATTTCTAATAAAATATGCTTTGCTTTGGTTTTTTTTCTTTTATGTATTAACAGTTTATTTGTATGTTTCTAAGAGGCTTTACTGACTGCAGGCGATTCATCACGGTTAGGTAAAGTGGACATTTGAGAGCCCAGTTGAAGTTAATTAAATTAAAATAAAAATCTCGTTTCAAGTACATTTTATAAAAAGGAATAGCGAAACTAATTTTGATAAGTCAGTGTTTAAAAAAATGGAGAATAAAATATATTAAAATTATAATAATCGAATGACTGGCAAAATTTATGAAGGTCTTAATAAAGGAATTGTATGTGAAAAAAACCCTCGAAAAATGGACTTACGATGTCAGTATAATTATTGAGAATAGAGCTCATTGCTTCATTGCTCCCAATATAATAATTTGTCCTATAAAAATAAATAGTAAGCTTTCATGTTTTTATGAATTTAATTTTAAAAAAACATTTTGGGAAAAAAACCAAACTTTCCATTTGAGTTACGCCCTTTTCGATTACTGAAATAATTAATCTTCATATCTCTGTAAGTAATACGAAAAGTAAAAAGTTTTCTTCAAATACTAATTCTTTTATGAAAAATAATCTTAACTTCAGATAATGTTGAAATATTACCTCTTATTTTTAATTTCTAAAGGTTTTTTCTCCTGTAAAATTTATAAAATGTAACTTAGGCCTTCTTTTTTGATTTTATGTGGCGATATGCATATAAATTTTTCACCATTATCATTTGTTTTTCATTTCCTCCTTGCACTTATTCATGAGTTTATTGCAACAGCCTTTAGCCATCTGCCAATTTTTTCTATTACTTTTTTCCATAAAAAATTTTTGTCTGGTCCCAGAGAGACTGCTCAAGTCTAGTGAATTGGTGAAGTTATTACATCAGTATACAATTGACTCATTCAATTTTGATTGATTTGTTTGTTGTTTTATATAATTGCGTAGGCATGTTATGAAAATGAGGAAGATAATAATACATCAACAGCCTCATCACCTGGAGGACAAGGGTGGGCTCAGCGGGTCAAAGGCTGGTTTAGTTCGGTACGTTTTCTAGCAATTACCAAAGTAAATATTAAAATAATTTAAAAATTTCACTTGTCGTCTAAAATTGTATATATTAACATTGATCGAATATTGAAAATCAGAAAACATTTTATATGTATTTAACATATACCTGTTGAATTGAGAAAGAAGACCGCTCACAAGCCAAGCCTTCACCCTGTGCGCTCCACATATCAACAATTTTGCATTTCAACCAATGAATTTTAACCGCACTACCATATACATGTACTACAACATTTATCTATATAATTTTTTTCAAACCATCATACTAGTCAATTAATAATCCTATTTAAAGATGATTTGCATTTGCGTACTTGTATGAAAAGTAACGTACTAGTTCAAAATTATTTAAATTAATATCCGTTTTTGTCTATATTAATTTAACATTTTATAAAGTTAAGATTTAGAATATACATCACTTGCGATCTGAAATAACTACAGGGTTCTACTTACTGGTTTCTAATGCAATTTTGTACGTTTTAAATTTCCTATAGGCTGTTGCTGTATGAGCTGTTTCCTTCCTTTGCATTCATTTAAATGAGGATTGCTTCTTTTAATAATAATTGTAGAATAAATTGAACTATCAGCAAGCCATAAATATGTATTGTTCTGTTTCTGTTTTTCAGGGCTCTGACAAGAAAAAGAAGAGCTCTAAATTAATAGAGCTTCCAATGGAAGTGAAGACTCATGGTTTCTCATCACCAGACTTGCAGAACTTGGTCCAACAAGAGGCTAAAATGATTGCAAACGACGCCCGGGAGACCCAACGCGTTGACGCTAGAAATGCTCTTGAGGAATATGTATACGACATGCGTAACAAGCTTCAGGCAAGCATTTAATTTTAACGATGTTGTAAATTACAACTTTTGCTTTGATTTCAAGGATAACAGACATTATTAATTAAATTCATTTCAAAAAGAAGAGCGCATAGGGACAGATAAAAATGTTCGACTAAATTCTTGTCAGTAAAACTAAATTTTATTCAAAAATTATAACTTTTACGGACAATAAGATAATACATATTCTTATTAAATGCCAACTTACTTTGACAATCAAATCCTTTCTCATGGATTTTAAACAAAAAATAATACAACATTTATATTTCTTTGCTTGTAGATATTTTTATATATTAATCTTAAATGATAATTTCTTTCAGGGAGGTCCACTTGAACGTTATGTCTTGGAAGCAGACCGTGAAGCCATTTGCTCTCAACTTAATGATCTCGAAAATTGGTTGTATGAAGAGGGAGAAGATTGTGATCGTGATACTTATGTTAATAAATTGAAAGGACTCCATACCCAAACAGATCCCATTAAAGAACGTGCTAATGATTACGAGAATGCTCCAGTAGTTTTTGACGAACTTAACCATAGCATCCAAATAGCGCACAGTGCTATAAATGAGTTCAAAAAGGGTGCTCCTAAATATGATCACCTAACAGAGGCCGAATTCTTGAACATCTCTGAAGCAGCCGATAAAGCGCAAAAGTGGCTAAATAGTAATATGACAAAGTTTACACAAACGCCACGCATGTATGACAGTCCCGTCAAAGTTGCCGATATACGCCATGAAGTACAGACACTGAATGCTTGCGTCAATTCGGTTATTAATCGTCCTAAACCAAAACCAGCTGCGAAACCAGCGCCTGCGAAAGATGCCAATTCGGCGGGAGCGGACGAACAGAATGGTGAGAATGCAGAGAAAGAAAATGATAAAGCAGCACATAATCCAATGGACGATGCTACCATGGATGTGGAATAAGTAAATCAAGAACTCGTTGCTTTTGTGGTGGGGGGTGTTTATAGAATGTAAGTCGTCCTGCATATACGTAAGAAGCCACAAAATATGGAACAAACACAAGCTATTTAGCATTGGCATAAATAAATACAAAATGATATGAGCTTAGGTCGGCATCGAGTTAAAAATGAAGTGAGAATAAGGATATATCTTCGTAATATTGCAGTTGGGGTCGTAAATATTGAGATAAAAACAGCAAACAACCGCCGGGTGAATTCTGTTATTACTACACACAAATTCAATTAAAAGAATTTCAATATTTACAATAAAAATAATGATTTTAATTTTTACTAATTTAATAAAATAATGACTAAATAATATATAACTTAAAATAAACCAATCCCTAAATAGCAGATGCAAAACAAATCCTTAAACATTGGTTCACAAAAATACTTTCAATTTATTAATATTTTCTCTATGGAAATTGGACTACATATATATATGTTATTTTATTTTTCCAAATGAATATTATATAAGCAAAACTATCACTGAATGCTCCTAATAATCCGTTTTTCTTAAAGAAACAAATGAAATTACACACAGCTCTAATGGGCAAATTTTATATTCGTAAAAACACCGAGGATTCGGTGACATACTAATTATCAATTTGATGTTGATAAATTTCAGAATTTGTAAAATTCTTGGCATTTTTAGCATATAATGTAAACTTATGTTATCAGATACCATTCATTTTTATTCACTATTTTATTTATATTACCATATAGACCGCCATTGAAGATGCAATGCACCATGCGTTGACATTTCTGTTGCTTTACTTTTAGGCTTTTGAATGACTGGGTATGAAGAAGTGACCAGTATAAACTTACATACATACATACGTATTATCAGCGCATTCACGTAATAATCTAAATTAATGCTTGCACACATGTGCAATGTAATTGAATTAATTGCTGCGGTATTAATTTCTAGAACTTAGCAGATTTTTTAAATAATAGAATTTACAGTTTGGACTAAATTGAATTTGTAAAGGAACAAACTTAATCTAATAAACTAAAACGAAATAAACAACACTCAACAACAATGTCTGGTTGCATTTGGTCATTTATTTGTATAGAGGGTTAAAGGAATTTGAATAGATATGCACTGAAGTGTTTCGAAAGACATAGCCCTGTACTTGTTGCTAATGGATGTTATATGTATTTACCGTTACAAATATTTGGGTTGTATTAAAAAAAAGTTGGTTTCTAATTATAGTTTATTTTTACATTTTCAACAACATTTTGTACCCCGTATAACTGTTCTGTTAACTTAACGGAGAAATCATTTAAAACATTAGATTTTTATCGTATCCTTTTACATTACAGTAGATAAATCAAGCTTCAATGAAAATATTAAAACAAAATTTAGCACTAAGAGTATCTGTGACAACAGCTGACTACGAAAACGTCAATTGCAATGTATAAGAACAAAGTATAATGTTCGGTAATACACCCGAAATATTTTTGGCATTGCATCATGTTTTGCAACGCATTAAACCGGTAGTCGGTGCGCAGTGACAAAGAAAATCGATCTCAAATAAGGTTATGGTTTTTGACATTTTCCAATGCAACGATAGCGGAGTGAGAGTAAAGTCATATGGTGCGAGAGGCAATCTCGACAGCAGTGTTGCAAATTTGTCAAAGTATTACGTTCTGCGTGAATTTTTGGCAGCACTTGCAAAAGCATCACGTTCTACTGTCACTTTTTGCACGCAATTTATGCAAATATACAACACAGTAGCTATACTGCTGCAATTATTACGTAGCTCGATCGCACCCAGATTTGCCAGAGACCGTATATCATAAAGAGGTTCATGGTGTGCCGATTGAAATGTCCTTCTTGACGCAGGGTTATTCGCCCCATAAGAAAAGACCAAGCGGTCGCAAATATTCTATTCTATATTCTGTATGCGATACACTAGATCATTGAGTCGTTTAATAACATTGTATGGTCGTTCCCAATTACACTGTAATTTGGGAGACAGCCCTTTCTTTTGTTGTGGGTTATATAACAATACCCAATCGCCTTCAATAAAACCCTCAGAGTTTATTGCCTTATCGTATTTTGCTTTCATCTTATCGCTTATAATTTTGGTGCGCTGTCTCACCATAGCATGTATATGACTCATCTCGTCTTCTAGGATGCTATTGAATTCCTTAGTACTCCTTCCTCCGTTGGCGTTAATTCCAAATTCTAAATCAATCGGTAGTCGAAGATCATTACCAAAAATTACCCTTGCTGGAGTCTGCCCCGTTTGTTTCATGTACAGCAGACCGATAAGCCATCATGAACAAGGATATATGGGTATTCCAATCTTTCTGATACTTGTCCACAACTTTCCTCAAATGTTCTTCCAAAGTTCGATTGAATCGTTCTACCATGCCATCGGACTGCGGATGTCTATTGGCACAGGTTTCGGATACCCAGCTTCGCATATCTCCTGTATTAGAGCTGCAAAATTTCTTCCTTGGTGAGAATGTAATTCTATTGGAACACCATATCTCAATACCCAATTGTTGATGAATACACCCTTACTGTTCCTGCCTCTTGGTTAGGAATTGCGTATACCTCTGGCCATTTGCTGAAATATGTAACTACCAAAACATATCTGTTTCCTAATTTACTGATAGAAATGGACAGCTACATCCATGGCTATTCCTCAAACGGTGCACCTGAATTTACTGCTTCATCTGACCATAACTTCTGGACCGCAGCCCTTTAGCAGCAATGCCTCGACACATCCACACAATAAAATCTTTGTTTTAATTTCTCCGGTCTTATTGATCCCATGTGTCCTCCCTTGGACCGTTGTGCAGCTCGTTGAGAACTGTAGATTCTTACTTTTGGAACAATCATCGGAGCTCGTGCCTTTGCATCTTCCCTTTCTCGCGATGCAATCAGCGACACTAACTTCAAACTATTCCTGCCTTGCGCCTTTTCGACTGGGCTTTCTGCAGTTATTTCTTCTCTCGTTAGACGTTTTCATCTCCAATCTGTATTACACTTTTCAAATCTGGATCCTCTTGCTGACTTCCAGCTCCTCCGGATTCCAGTCGATTTATAGTCATAAGTCGGACATCTATAATATCTTCTTTGGCCTCAGCTTTTGAGCAATTCTGCATTCCAGATTACAGGAGGGCTGCATGATCCGTCCTCACCCGAAATCGTTGACCATAAATTTACTTATGAAAATTTTGAAACGCCAGTAATTCCTCCGAGTCACACAATAATTTCTTATTTCTCAGTACTTAACCGTTTCTTCAGAGTTTGGAAAACTTCCTGTTCTTTATCTCATTCAAAAACTCTGTTCTTTTTCGTGAGCTCATGAGACTAAGTCAGCTGGCAAAATTTAGAACAATCGTCTATAATAAATATGCAAGAAACTCCCAATTCATGTAAATTTTGGGTGGAGTCTCTTACTGCCTCGATCTTTTCATTGCTGTACAAATAATTAAAATTATTTGTACTGCCAGAACTACTCTGATAGCTTTCGTCATCTGACTTTCATTTATGCGGATTTGCAGATTCGTGATTTAGAAAGAGCTGAGTGAGTATGAGATTATGAATCAATTCATACCCTATGTTAAAGAGATGACAACTAACACACTACGTTTTTACATCAGTTTAGAAAGGCTCCTAAGAAAATTATAGAAACTTTTTCTGCGCTGACAAAATTTTTCATATAGCTGTCAAATTACCCATCAGATGACCTCACTGTTCTTGTAGCTACAACAAATGTAAACAAATAGATTGAACTGTCATGAAAACTCATCGAAACACACAATGTCTTCAGAACTTTGGTTCCACAATCCACAAATTGTTTTCAGAGATTTCAATTCGTGCGAACAGAGTAATAAACAAGTGGATTATTGAGGTATAAAGTACTCTAACGAAACTATTATAAGGATGTATGTGGTCTAGAGATAATTTCAGGTAATTTTGAAGTTGTAAACAAATTTATATTGCCTTTACTATCCATTTTTATTAGTTATTTATTAACATTACAAGAGTACAGGAAAAATCTAAAATAAAATAGTTATTTTTAAAATTATGATGATGGAGGCTTTCAAAAGGTTGCAGATGACCATCCTACGATTTCATTAAGCAATCTGAAACAAAAACTATAAAAGTTTAACAATCAATATTAACTATCTATAACCCATATATAAGATTCTTAACAAAAAGAAATGATAATATGTTGGAAATATGATTACAAGTAAGAAGTGAAATTTGTAGATATGTTTATATGCATAAATGCCAATATTTGAAATCGAATTTTAAATAATTACTAAAACTTTTTAAAACTATTGTAAGAAAGAAAATTTTTTTTTAATGTATATCATATATCATGTATATATAAATCTTATATATTAAAACTAAACTAAAATAATTACTTAAAGTTTGTAAGATAAGTAAAAATAGAACCAAAATTATAAACATGTAAATTATAATAATAAATAAAATTAAATAAGAATTTCAATTTTTAACTATCAGGAAAAGAACCGATACGTTAGGCGGTAACCAATGAGTAACCACACAAATAATCCCATAAAGCGGTCGAAAATAACATCAACCCTTTTACTGCAACGCGCTAACCAAACAAATAACCTATGAATCCAGTTTCTGTAACGGTACCATAAATATCCATACAAACTGTTTTCAGTAACAGGTTTAACCAAAGGGAATACTTTTTCTGAGGCTAGATAGTGATTGAGGTATGCACCGCGACCTATGTCTATTTCAAGTTTCTTAAAGTTCTACTACATAAGATCTGGACATGCAGCAAACGATTCTATTTAGGTTGTGGTGTTAAAACCATTGAAATAGCATGCAGTTTAAGCTCGAATAACGAGCAATAGTGTTAAGTTGTTGGAATTAGAAATAAAGTGTATAGCATTAAATTGGGACTTTAATTTAACAGTCAGTGATCGAACTTAAGAGTGAGTTACAAGGTAGACGATTTATCAAGAAATTCATACAATTGGTGTCAGAATGGATTGTCAAATAAATTCCCATTAAATAATTAGTTGAAAACGGCTAAGTTTAACGATTTGAAGATTCCACAACTGAAAAGGAGCTGGAGGAACGTGGTTTAACGACAAAAGGATTAAAAGTGAATTACAATCACGGTTGGGAGGCCATGGAGCGGAAAATATTCATGTTGAGGAATATTGCTTTCAAATGTAATTGAGAGAACAGACAACAAAGATAGAAGATGATGGACATAGACATGATTTTTGCTGCAATTCGCAGATGGGGACAGAGCAGGATGTACGTATGTCAGCACAAATATCGACACATTTAAGAACATATCATAGTTAGAAACACGGTTGTCAACGCTGTTGGAGAGCAGTTCGCAACCAAAATGCACATATATCAGCACAAAAGTCCTCATAGCTGAAAGAGTTGGACGTAATTATGTCAACGGTGTCCTCACATTTGAAGAAGCGTGAACGGTGAGGTTAAGTCAGAAAAGCAGAACCTTGTATCCTCACAGGTCCTCACGGTTGAAAGAGTTGGTGCGTATGTGAACGCGGGTGTCCTCCATTTGGAAGATCGGGAGCGTGAACAAAGTATTCTCACGTCACGGGAGCGGAAGCAGCCAATAAGGTCCTCACATTTAAGAGAAACTGAGCTGTATACCATAACAAATGTCCCCAGATGGAAGAGCAGGATAAAATATAAAGGATGACTCTATGCAAGAAGGTCCAGAATGGAAGTTATTGCATGAATGGAGTTGAACCAATTACAACGAGTATAGAAACTAATTCAGAAGCTCAATCAAAAACATATCGGTAGAGCAGAGTTTAAAGTTGTGTGTGGCTGCTTGCATCGAGTATGGAAAAGCAATGAGCAAACCTCCCGAGTACTTATGTTTGTTCCAGATAAGAATTCCTGAAGTCCTTAACGTGCAGTACAAGGTGGGGGCAATTAAGAATCCGAAAACCTTGGAGAAATTGAAGCAAAGTTTTTATTGGTCATGACCAGATGAAGCAGTACAATTTGAATGCCAGTTGAGCAAATGGGCGTGGATTA